ATATTTGGTTCAACCCTAAAGGTTCTACCCCCAAATTCCCCTTATAGGAATTTTTCCTAAGGAAATAACTAATAACTAATATAAGAATTTACATATCACAAGGATATTCTCTAAAATACTAGTTAAAATATTGACAGATTGGAGAAACAGAACTTCCCCCCAAATGAAAACAGTGAAAATTATGGAATACATGGCTATGTAGCCATTAAAAAACAATGTTTTAAACGAAGGAAGTAGGTAACAAATTAGCAAGATAGAAAAAAGAGATTCCAAGAGGAAAGGACATGAATGCAAGCATGGGATGAGCAAGTATAAATCATGATGGGAAATGGGAAATAATTTACTTCAGCCACAATGCTATCTGAGGAGAAACAGTGGACAACAGGAAATCCTTAGGATATGGGTGTACCATATGTATCACTGAACTTTTTCACTAGACAGTACTGTGAAGTTGGTTAAGAACATAAGTTTTAGAACCAAAAGACCTAGGGATCCATCATCCAAACTCAGGTTTTTTATGTACTACCCAAATAATTCTGTACCTAAACTTTGGTATCTATCCACAAAACTTAATATTGTTTCCTTAGTACTACTATAAAAATAAAATAAGGTGGTATATGTAAAACATTGTTTTGTGTCAGAGTAAATGCTAATAAACAGTTGATTGTTATATTAAACCACTATGCAAAAAGAAGTGTGGAAGTACAAACGAACTATTGTTAAAGATTTGCATGGTTTTGCCAGGTGCTTTGACAACCTCCATCAGTCCAGTAGTCCCAGAGACTCAGGAAGCTGAGGCAGGAGAATCACAAATTCAATGCCAGCCTCAGCAACTTTGCAAGGCCCTAAGATACCCTGTCTCAAAATTTTAAAAAGGGCTGGGATGGCATGTAGTTTAGTGTTAAAGGGCCCCCTGAGCTCAATCCCCAGTATCAAAATAAATAAATACATAAATAAAAGATTTGCCTGGTTTTATTTCTATGTAATTGTTTTAATTAAATTCAGGAATAAGCATGTGCTACGTAAGTTTATTCTCAATGAAGTGACACATTTCAGTCGCATCTGAAACTGAGAACACAATCATCTACTGCCTCTCACTGTTTCATAGGAGAATTGATTGTTCTGTGATAATGTAAGCTATAATTATTTAAAGAAAAGGACTTATGTTCCTGTCTCATCTGTATCTTTAATAGTCTTCACAATTTATAAAATGCTCATTGTTCTATTAGTTTTAATTGTGATAGTGGCAGTGTAGGAGTAGACTGTCATGTTTTAGTCATAAAACTTGACTAGATCTATAACAGTCAGGAAATTCGATCTCAACTTTTACTTCAGATCCAGTGCTTTCAATTTGTACAGTAAACTTTCTTTCCTCTTTTTGTCTTTTAATGTTACCTCTAAACATTTTTACTCACTAAAGTTCGTAGTCCAAAGTGTGAGAATATTGATAGCCACAACATATAAACTTTCTGAATAAAACAATTTGAGAGAAATGATGGAGAAATAGTTATATAATTGAAAAGACCCACCTTTATATTTCAAATGCTTGTTAGAAAATGGCATCACACTACATCTATATGAAACATTTAATGAGGATAATATATTGAAAATAATAATACATAAATAAATGTATTATATAAATGAGGTTCATGATGTTTAGGGAAATGGAACTGCAAGTTAGCAAGAATAGCAAGAAAGACAATGCTTTTATATCAATCTTATTAGTATGTTAATGAAGTCAAAGATTTCATCAGTGTGCATTTTAACAGAGGACCCTCCAATGCTCAGAATATTTCCAGTCCTGACACCTCACCTCACTCTTTCTGGCTTAATCCCCACTACTGCTGGAATCATCTTTCAGTGTGGCTGTCATCAACTCCACAGCTATTCTTTGTAAATATTCAATACTAACTTCCTAGAAATATGGTAAACTGAAATGCCATTAATTTTTTTCTGTATTAGTAAAACTTCAAAAATATATTCAAATTTATTGTCTCTGAAAGAAAAACAGATTCGATTTAATCCTACAGTGGGCTTTTCAACTCTCTTCATGAGACAAAATAGACAAATACACAGAAACTCTTTCGTCTCCAAAGAGAATAAAAGAACAGGATGTAAATAAAAATGTCTGTTCTCTCTTTTAGAAGGTTTACTAAGCATGGAACAATATTCGAAGAAGAGTTAGTGGATTCTACTCCTAATATTGTCTTTGAGATTTTCTTCTTGAAGGTAGGAACATGGGATTGTATGCAAGGTTGTTACAGATTCTATAAATTCCTAACATTCATTGCTCCAAAAAGAAGGGGAACATCTATTCAGAGTCTACTTTGTACAAGACACTTCAGTGAAATTAAATTTAACACATTTAAAATGTATTTCCTACTAATAAAGATAATTTTCAATGTGACACCTACCACTAGAGGGAGTTTATTTTGCTCAATAAATTCAAATGACTAAAAGAGCTTCAGGTTAAAATTATGTCACCTACTTTATTCCAAAATTTTATGGAATTGTATAAGCAAATGACCACCCTTTTAAACAGTTCTATAATAAATGCCATAAAATAAAATAAAATGGCTATAATTTAAAGGGTCCAAGTAAAGTAAATCAGAATAGCATAGCATTTTCCAAGTCAATATGTCTTTTTCCCAAGGTTATCATGTTTTAGGCCTCATTAGCTACAAAATAGTAGTTTAATTTAAAAATTCATATTAAATTTACTAGAAAGTTTAATGGTCTCATTCTTTGAGCAAACTTTGATTAACTGCATTTTAATTTTTATTCAGGTAAAAATAACTTCAACACTTTCACTTGCTCATCTAACTGTCAGCACTAGACTTTTCTTATAGAAGAAACTGGTGACACTTAAAACATCTATATGATTAGAAGCAATGCATGGTGATTGGTAAATGTTTGATAAACATCTATAATAACTATTAATATCTATAATAAAGTGTGGATGAATGAGAATACTTATAGTAGAAGAAAGTATTAAACACAAGGATATTAAAGTCTAAGGAAGTATCAAAATGCATTCTACTGCTATGTATAACTAATTAGAACAAATAAAATAAAATAAAATGCATTAAAAAAGTCTAAGGAAGTACATTAAAATATGAAAATAATATAATAAAAGAACATCTCATTCAAAAGGAAAATGTAGTATATTAAAAGGGAAAATCTTTTATAAAATATTAACTAGAAAACCCCAAATGTTAAAACTTTATAATGAATATAAAATTAAGGTACTTGATTTTGTTTATAAAGCAATCTATGTCCTTTTATAACCTACTGACTGAAACTTAATATCTTTAAAACCATTCAGGGTTCAAATTTTCTTACCAAACACATAAAAGCCTATTATAAATTATGCTAAGTATATCATTATATTAATAAATACATAGAATAGGCATTATAGAATGCCTCTCAGTTTTAACCATCAAGAACAAAATCAAATTAGAAAAAATGCTTTACTTTACAAAACCTTTCTACAAAATAAAAATATTATAAATCAATGTCTCAGAATTGTCAAGACAGAAAATTGCTGACTAGACAATATTGCTAGATACACTGTATTATAAAACCTCTTTCTATATTATAACCAGTCTATCTACAGAGGGAAATCCTCTGTTAATGCAAAACTATTAAGTCAAAGATCTGAAGACCTATGAGAACTGAAATTTTTAAAGGAAATTAAAGTTCCAGAAATGAAACTTTAGGTAACTAACTTTAAATACTGTATAAATATGAAACTGCTATTTTTCTGGGTTCTCATATAGGGACAGTTAAGTTTTAAGTGAAAAGTACACTTCTGATTTCTTCTGACTAAAAGTTTAAGTGTTTTTAAAATTGTTCACGAAAATTTGAAAAATGCTGATGAAACTCAAAAGACAATAATACATCAATAAGACTCACAAAAGAAAATCTGTCTGAAGCGCTGATTTTTTTTCCTGAAAACATTTTTTTGATGTATTTATTTGTCATCTCATACAAACATTCCACCAAAACAAACACCCCCAACACCACCAAAAAAAAAAAAAAAGGAAGAAATTCCAGTGTAGTTACACTATTACAATTGACAAAACTTTGAAGTAGGGGAAAAGGGAATTACAGGTAGATATTAAGAATGAAAACTTCTCTCTCAATAAAAACTGTTCTAAATCTTTTACTTTACAGACCCTAAAACCAACCCAAAAGTGATAAGAAAGCTGCTTCTAAAGATAGCTAAGAATACAATCCCCTGTGGAACCTGCCCACTGCACACTCCTACCTGCTCCCATCCCTGTAACTCTTCTTAATGATATTGTCACTACAAAATTACTGCCTAATAATTAAATAACGTGGCACAATATTAAGCCAACTGCTGTGGAGGAAAAAAAAAATGCCTTTAACAGCATTCTGCATCTTCCTTCAAGACAGCACGTGTTTGGCTCTTTAAAACATCTCACCCCACAAAGCTTTCTACCAAGAATCAGAATTAAGACTGTCCTCTAACCTAACCCATGAGGATATTTAGAGTGGAGAGGGATTTCAAGACAGGTTTAGGCTAACTAATCCAGGAACACCACAAAGCAGGTCAGAGCTGTCAACAAATTAGTACCAAATAAAAGATTACAGAGTTGCAAATGTCAGAGGGCGCGTTTGCTCTGGTAACCCGGGGTGCAATTATTTTAAATGCAAAAACTGGAAATAAGAGAATCCAAGTCCCGGGTTTCTCCTCTGGCCTTCAACTCTCCATTGGGCGGGCTGTGTGGAGAATGGACCTAATCCCCCCCGGATCGCGGGGATTTGGGGGCGGGGTAGGGCCGCCTCCCGCACTGGTGAGCCTGAGCGCCCAGCCCCCGTGCTGAGGACGCGCTTCGGACACTCACGTTTTCTGCACCGGCTTCCGCCGTTTGCGACTGGCATAGGTGATGTTGGCGCTGCTGCTGTTCATGGTGCCCAGCCGGTTGCAGCTCCTTACCGACACAAACAGCCCGGTCCCCCCGACTCTGGCGACCGGGAAGGCGGCGACCGCCTGCACGTTCCACGAAACCGCGCTCGCTCCACCTGCGTCCTCCTGGGACAGTGACTAGGGCGCCGCGCCCCTCGCGCCTAGCTCCCGCAGCCTGCGCTGGTCCAGGTGAGCTGCCCGGGCCTGGCAGTCGAGGAAGGGGGGGTTGTGGGGGGAAGGGCGAGGGGCGGAGACCCGTAGCGAGGAGGCGCAGGTGTCGTCTACACCCGCGGAGGCTAGGCGGTGCTGCCCGAAGGTGAGGTGGCCCGATCGAAGGAGGAGCCTGGGCGTCTGTTTAGAATCCTGGCCTGGGTCGCGCGCGGTGGCGCAGCGCCCCGTGACCGTCACTGCTGCCCCTAGGGTGAGGGAGGCGCCGCAGCGCAGCTCCCGGGGCTTCCCCGATCCTGGGTGCTTCCCGCCCGCGGAGCTCAGGCTCCGGCCACCAGTCCTTGCTGCCACTTGCTTCCGATCGGCTACACGCCTGATTCTGGACTAAGCTGGCGGTTCAGGGCACGCTCCCGGGACTAAGCGTCGAGTGGACTCCCCTGACGCAGCCTCCCGCAGTCGCGCGCACCGGCTGAATAGCAGAAGCGTCCCCGACCCCACACCGGCCTCGCCCCGCCCTGCCCTGATCCCTGGTAGCCCCGCCCACCTGCTGGGTCCCGCCCCACCACCGTCTCCCTTAGGGTCACACCCTCATCCCAGCACGTGATGACGTAGGACGTAACGACGCCCTCCAGTAGCCATCTTCATGAGGTCCAAAGGAGGGTTTTTTGTTTGTTTGTTTATTTGTTTTTTGGTTTTTTTTCCTGTAGACCTATTTTTCACCTAAGAGGTGTCAACGAATTATGCTTAAAATTTTTTAGGTATATATCTTTGATTATATCAAGATATGCCAAGTGTGAGCTTAATTCCACTTATTTGATACTGAGTTGGCTAGTCAGCTAACTTAGAGCTAAGATTTTCAGTGAGCTACAGATAACCAGTGGAACTGTAAGTCTTCTAGTGGGGAACGCTTCCAAAAGACACATTTGAGTTGAGACTTGAAGAATAGGAGGAATCTTCTTGGCTATTATTATTATTAGGAAGAAAGCATGAGAGCATTTAGGATATTTGGGTCATATTAAGTAGTCTTGTATGATTGGAGAAGAGGAGCTGGAATAAGAGTCTGATACAGAGTTGAAGAGAAAAACTGGAGATAATATTCAGAAATTCTAGAAAAAAAATGATGAAGCCTTGATGAAAAGTTCTGATTTTATTCTATGGGTAATGGAAGTCGTTTAAAGATATTAATCAGGAAAGTGACATTACCATTACAGGGTCTTGGAAAGTCACTCTCAGAGGAATTTGCAAACTGGATTACTGGAGAGCAAGAATGCTTGCAAAGAGAGTAGTTAAGAAGTTGATGAAGTAGTCCAGGTGAAAGCGCAAGGAAATAGCAGTGGTTAAAGATGAGTGAAGAAAACATTGATCATTTTAGAAAAGTGTAAGGGAAGAGGAGATGAGAGAAAACAATCCGGGATGGATCCAAGAGTTCTGACACTTCATGTTAACCACAATAGTGAATAGAGACAGGAAAATGTTTGCTCACAGAGACCAGAGGGCACCAATTTAAGATGAAGATTCCTAGATAATTTTTCACACCATACTTATTCCTACATTTTAAAATATCTTCAAGTCGGTCTACTCTCTGAATTTGTCACCTAAAATTCAGTGCAACAAATTGAACTCATTGACCCTGAAGATCTCCATGTTCATTCTTCACTCCATCTAGGAATCATCTCTTAAATTCCTCTACATTGTATGTGGATCTAGAAAATACTACTGACTATTGTTGGTTGCATTATCCACAATTCAATTCCCTCCACCTGTCCTCAATAATAATAGAAAAATAGTACCCTGATTAAATGCCAATTCATTCAGGATTCCTTAGCTTATTACAATATCATTCCCTTCCATACATTAATGCATTCAAAAGATATTGTGAGAATACCTACTATGTGCCAGGAATCATACTAGTACTGGAAAATTAGTAGCAAACAAATGCCCTCAGGAGTTAAGAACATATGGAATGTCATGAATGTATTGGGGAAGTACATGATTCTGTATTATGTTCTAGTGGATAAATTTTACCTAGTCATTGAGGCAAATAAAGGTTTTCCCAATAATTGAGTTGATGTCTGAATAGGATTACTTAGGAGAAGAGCATTCTGTGTAAGTAATGACCCTTTGGTGAGAAGGAACCTGGCAAGTATGAAGGACTAAAAGAAGTTTAGGATGAGCAGAGGGGAGAGGAAATAATCAAATTGCATTTCAGAAAAATCACTATATCTGTACTCTGTGGAGCAGATTAAAGATGGAAAAGTAAAGTGAAATGGATGGTGGCTTCTTAAGAAATCACTGCAGTAGCCCAGCCAAGAAATGAAAATGCCAAAACTAGAGTGGCAATGATGATGGAGATAAAGAAAATATAAAAGATTTGGTAGATACCTGGGAGATGTCAGATAAGAGGATACATGGCAGTGAAGAAAAAGGATATGTCAAGAATGCAATTCATGGTTTTCTGGACTTGTGCATCTGGTGGAGTTAAAAATTATTAATTAACCTTCAAGCCTCATGTTTGAGGTATCTTTGAGACATCTAAGAGAAGATGTTGAGTAGACCAGCTCAAAGAAGAGGTATAAGCTGGAGACATAAATTCAGAAGTTACTGCACTTAGGCAAGAGAATATGGAGGTGTCATGTATGTTCATTAAAATGTCAAGAATGTATACTAGAAAAGAATGAGTAGAACCGAGCCCTAAAGAATTAAAGAGCCCCATATTAGAACTCTGTATCTAATGTAGATAAAAGATTATGATCCTGCAAAACACATTGGAGAAAGAATTCCTAGAATGATAACAGGAAAGTAAGATGACTATATAGTGTCATGAGGGACAATAAGCACAAATGTTGGTAGATGTTAACAGTAATGAATACTGTTGTTTTAAATAAAATGAGAAATAAAAATGTCATTTTTAGCTCTTTGACCTGAGGTCATGGATGACTTTAGTGAATGCTGTGTTAGGTTATCATATTGAAGTGGGCACATTGATGATATTCAGAATGTCAGAAAATGGTACCTACAAGCAGATGATTTCTTTTGTGTATGTGTGTGGTGGGGAGGAGGTGGTACTAGGGATTGAGCTCTCATGCATGCTGGGCAAATGTTCTATCAGAGAGCTATATTCTCAAACCTTTTTATTTTAAGCTAATCTAAGTAGGTTGCCCAGGCCAGCCTTGAATATACTATCCTCTTGCCTCAGCCTCCAGTATAGAAGGGATTTCAGGCATGCACCAATAGGTTTTGTCAAATGGTTCTTCTTTATTAAATTTTTAAAAAATATTTTGCTTTAGTTGTACTTGGACACAATACATTTATTTTATTTCTTTGTAGTGCTGAGGATTGAACCCAGTGCCCTGCATGTGCTAGGTGAGTGCTCTGCTGCTGAGCCACAACCTCAACCCCTCAAATGGTTCTTTTTAAAAGGTTAGTGGTTAGTGGTGAATAGGAAAAACACGAGACAGGAATTGAGGTTTTGTTTTGTTTTGAAGCCAGGCATGCTGGCATACACCTATAATCCCAATCACATGAGAAGAGGAGGCAGAAGAATCCTGAGTTTGGAAACAAGCTTGGGCAACATGATGTTGTTGTTATTGGTGGTGGTGGTGTTTTGTTTTGTTCCAGGTTTTCAGGGGGTGATACTTTAGCAGGTGAGAGAGATGGAGAGATTTACTATGTAAGAAGGACAATGAGCAATGAAGGAATAATAGAGATTATTGATAATAAAAGCAGGAGGGAATGAGTATCAAAGTGTAAATTGGAGATTAGGACTATAACAGATTAGAAGATATAGCTTCCTAAATGCTTTCTATTAAAAGTGGTCCACAACTTCTCATGGGGAATTATAGGAAGTGCAGAATCTGTGTGTCCTTCGTAAGTCAAAATCTGAATCTAACAAGTACTTCCAGGTGAATCAACTGTGTATAAAGTTCAAGGAACCATCCTCTACAGCCACTAGAAGAAAGGATAATGAGTGAGATATACTAGACCAGTAAAATTTATATCAGAAAGATGAAGATGTGATGGGAGAATATTTTAGCATGTGCTACAAAGGAAGTGTATATATTGTAGTTTATAGTTTTTGTTTTAATTTTAGAAGAGCATAAAGTAAAAATAATCTGGGTAGGGGCAACAGAAAGGTGAACATCAACCCTATATCTGAGCTATGTCATAAGGGAAAATAATTACATACCATCTGGGAAGGCTTGTAGGGAATAATATCCTCCTGGAGAGCCAGCTTTCAGTTTAAGGCAAAAAAAAAAAAAAAAAAAAAAAGAAAGAAAGAAAAAAAAATCCCCCAAAAGACAGTGCATGTAGCAGGAATTTACTATTTATGGATTAGTGGATTAGCAATTCCAGGGGCACAGAGTCAACTATCTTACCTTCTTTTCCATTTCTTTATCTCTGAATAAGTATACAGAGCCATTCTATCTGAACTTTATAAAGTGTAAAAGAATAATTTCTTCCCAGCATAGTAAAAATGCACATCAAAACATAATTTATTGATTCTGAAGCTTATAGCTCCCCATTAGAAAAATGGTGTATTCAATGTACTATATTCGATGAATTGATCTTCATTCAGTTTTTTTAATGTCTACCCTTTTCAGAGTTGTTAGCATTCGATTCAGTCAATATCTATCTTATTCTTTACCTGCTTTCATGCTCTTATTTTCTGTTTGACTTTAAAACTGTTTTCATTATCCAGAAGTAATATTATGCTATCTTCTATGACATAGCCTCAGTTAAGTAATAGATCTTTGGACAGCCAGGATTAAAATAAAATGTCAGACAAGTTTCCAGAATTCACTTCATTTGAGTAGTGACCCCATGAACTTCCCTTTAACATTGTGCTTAGCATGTTAATAAAGCCAGTTTTTAGTGTAAAGATATTTAAAGAAAAAATACAAACTGATACTTTCTAGAAACTATTGCTTTTTATGTCTAATTACCAGAACATGGTTCTCAAAATATAGTTGTGGCATAAAAATCTGCTAAGTTTTCCCTGATCAATTTTTAGTAGCAATATAATTGTTTCCTTTTAACAATTTGCTGATAAGGGTTCATGCACACTTGACTGCCTTACCCAGAGAATGCCATTCTTTTAATTAGTGAAATGAGTTTAACTTCTGAAGTTTCAGATGCAGCTATATGTCTATAGGTTTCTAAATGTTTTAGGACTTGTATCAGCTTATAAGTATACTTATAAGTCTAGAATAAAGGAAAACAACTGCTAAACCTTTTCTGTCCCAATATATATGCATTCATTCATTTTGATGAGCAAAATATTTTAGCACCTGTAATATACCAGACATTGTGTGATACATGGTGATATCAGACATGTTCTTGTCATTTTAGAACTCACATTGTAATAAGAGAGATGAGAATAGCTACATAGATAAGTGTATAAGTGCAATTGTACTAACTGCTGCAAGATAATTATCTGAGCATGCTTAATAGGTAGATTTGAAATAGGAGAAGTTCTCTGAAGAAGCTTGAGCTGAGACCTAAAGCAGGGGTAGGCATTTTGTAGATGAAGCGGGGAAGGAAGGTTATTGGAAGAAGACATAAAATGTATCACTTTTTCGTCCTCTTCAGTCCTACAGCTCCTTACCCCTGGGTCTCAGAATTCTTTTGTAACTCATGCTCTAGATTACATGCTCATGTCTTAGATCACACATTATAATTATATTAAGTGTTTATTTATTTATTTATTTATTTATTGGTACTGGGATATTTAACCCAGGGGCATTTTACCACTGAGCCACATTCCCCTCATAGTAGTTTACATTTACTTAATTTTTCTTTTTATTTTGAGACAGAGGCTCACTAAGTTACTTAGGGCCTTGCTAAATCACTGAAGCTGGTATTGAACTTGGAGTCCTCCTGTCTTAGCCTCCTGAGGCACTGGGGTTACAGGCATGTACCACTACATGCTGTCAAATATTTTAAAAATCATAGCCATGCATTCCTTTAGATATTCATGAAGCTGGGTTTCTGTAAGTTGTGAGGAAGTACAAGTACCAGGAGAAATTACTATGAAAGAGGAAATGAAATGCTGGTTTCAAATCTGATTTGAAGATTTGAAACCTTGTACGGAGTCCAGTGTAGGTGTATGTCACATTAAGAATGAAATAAAATTAAATATGTGTGTATTATTGTTTAAAATAACTACTATATTGTTAGGATGGACATACATGAGTTTGCACCTATCTATGTAGTAAATGAAACTAATTAGGTAATTTTTTAAGCCTGTATCCATTAAAAAATTACTGAGACATTAAGAATACCACAAACCAAGACAGTTTTGCAACCTTGAAATAGCTAATTCCCTCATTTAACAGGTGAGAAACTTCCGGCCCAGGGAGATAAAGCCTATAATCCAGATCTTCTGACTTCTATTCCAGTCTAAATGATATTATTTCACTGTGAGCTGTTTTAATTCATTCCTTAAAAACAACCACTTTACTTATCAGTTGTTTTGTCTCTAGCACTGATGACTCTAACATAGACAAATATATCTAAGAGCTAGTTCTAAATGCTTAATGCAGTCTTGCTTAGATATTCTACAATAATATCATCATCAGAAGCCACAAGTAAGTAATTAACAGATGTTGAAGAATTTTGTAAAGATGTTTTAGACTGATTTTAGTCTTAATCGTGACATGGATATGCAATAAAATATAGAAATAGTCAAAAATATTTTCATTTACTTAGGGAATATTTTCTTAAATATCAATATGCAATAAGTTTAAATTTTGATTTTCACTTTCTGGAACTCTTTTTCTAGTAAATGTGATTTTTGATTATGGGAAAGTTTATAAAGAAAACTTTGTTCATATGCTAAGATTCATATCTGATTTATTAGCATTTTGTTAAGATATATAAATATAATTTATATTAAAGTCATTTAACTATAGAGAAAATGTATTTTGGTAGATATAACAATATTTTCTGCATTTTAAAGTAAGCTAAATGAAGATCAAATGCAATTATTTTTAAAAGAGCAAATATATTAATTTGATTTCTTCAAATTTTAAATAAATGTAAACTACTATGAAAGGCTGATCTCAAATCTATATTTTAAATTTGCTAAACTTTAAAGGACTAGTGCATTTGTATGCGTATTAAAACTGCCCAACAATGTGTTCTTTCTTGAAAAATGTTTAACTTAAATTTAATCAATCTGTAGACAGTAGTTCTCCTCCTGTGTTGCATACTGTAATCACATAGAAGCTTTATAAAATAGAGTTGCCCAGACTCTATATATGTCATGATTTGATTTGTCTGGGTTGTAGCCTGGGAATTAGGATTCTTAAGCTGATAGTGGTATCATGGTTATTTTGGAGAAGATCCTTATTCTCAGGAAATGCAGAAAAGAGATCGAAGATAAATAAAAGAATACACAAATGAAGTTTCTGTACTTACCCAAACTGAGAACAAAGTTAGAAGCCACACTTTCCATTTTGTAGGATTTGTGGGATGAATAATATATGTCTAGTTGTACATTTCAAGAATTTGCCTGGCATGTGCTGATTATTTTCCTGTATTATACAGTCAGTTACAAATAATAAAATACCAATAGTTTCTAATAACTTACAATTTTTTGGCTTATTCTTATACATGGGAAATTTCCCCTTTATCCAATATTTTTGTATATAATCATCATTGACCTTTTCTGTGACTTTATAATACCTAAATAGTCAGGATTTATCAGATTTATATACTAAAATAATATTTTTTAACCTTTTGGGAAAAAAATGTTAACTTGCACTACAAGTTCAATATTTTCACTTTAGAGTTTTGCAAAACAGGTACTATAAGTAATATCTTTAGAACCTCCTCAGTCCAACTGTTTACCAAGCATCAGAAAAATCTGCCATTACCTGATTGGTAAATTGATAATGATAAAGGAGATCTGGTTACATATTTAATCAAGGGGATGTAGTTGAGGGTGGAGTGTCCTGTAAAACAACATGTTCTCCACCCTTCCCTCCTAAAGCAAGCTGTAAGAATTTCCCTTGTAAAACTTAAGACTTTAGTTAGTTGAGTGACTTTGCTGCCTGATCATAGATAGAATTCCCATCTGCCTTTACAGAAGTAAGGAGTTCTAATGGAGATGTATTAAAAGCATTCAATTTATTCCAAGTTCTTGGACAACTCTCTTACATTCTTTTAGTCACTGCTTCGGGTTAAATCCATTCTGGTTATCCAAGTCTCTATATTAAGCATCTCATAGGGTAGCAGATGGAGTTTAGTGGCAGAGTTCTTGCCTAGTCTGTATGAGACCCTGGGTTCAATTCCCAGCACAGCAATGACTGCAGTAATAATAATAATAATTTTTAAAAGAATCACATAAAGCAAATATGTTT